CTTTGAAGCTATGTGGTAGAGCTGTGGGGCTCATAGGAAAAAAATGTCAACACAACCTATGCTTCAAGCATATCCAGTAGGGAATCTTGAATATGTCCCTGACAGAGAATAAGGGCCTGTTGCACTCAGATTGGGTAGCTTAGAGTAACAGGTTTATTCCTTCCAAATCTTGAGCCAGAAGTCAGAAGTCAGTGGGCCAGCAGGTTAATACTCACTGGAGAGGCCTTTAGGGAGGAAATGTTTCCTCTTGCTTATGACAGCTGTCATTGTTCCTTGATTTATGGCCACTTCTACCTGGGTGTCAAATAGCTTCCTCCCTTTCTCTGGGGCCTCTTGTGTCTCAAATATCAGTGCTCTTAGCGTCACTTGCTACTGCTTATAGGATGAGTTCAGTCCAACATCCTTACAGCTGCAAACATCTGCTTTTGTCAAATAAGCTCACATTCAGGGCTGCGGAGATAGCTCGGTGGATAAAGCGCTTGCCATACAGCAGGAGGACCAAGGTTGAGATAGCAACAACTCACAAAAAAAACCAGATGGGTGTGGTGGTATGCTTGGAATCCCAGCACCAATGGAGAGGTAGAAACAGAACCCTCAGAAGCAGCTGACAAGCCGGAGTTTAGGGAGAGACTCTGGCGGTAAATTAAAGGGGAGAGTGAGCAAAGAAACACACACACACACACACACACACACACACACACACACACACACACAATCCCACATGTGAACATGCATGTGGACAAATACACATGCAGAAAAGATGTGCTCACAGATTCTGGGGTTAGGATATAGACATGCTTTTGGGGGATGCTCCAGTCATCCCACTACAAGGAAGAAACTCAAATATCTGGGTGTCAGGCAACAAAACAAAGTTGCATCTATTGAAAACGAAGGAAATGGAGTTTTAGAGTCCTACTCAAGGCCACCCTCACCATATGAGCCTCCTGGGTGCCTGTGAGCCTTTGCAAGAGGACACCTGAGCCCTCGAGGAACACACTTGGAGAATCATTACCTGAGAGATGGGCAGGAGCTTTCAGCACCTCCCCAGGCAGGAGACCCATTTGGTCTGGCCTCTCTCCAGACAGTCCATACTCGCAGTAACCAGTGACCAGGGAAAGCTGGTACTTACTGAGAAATACCCTTTTAGTGCCCATCTTTGGATTTTATGTTGAAGTGTGACTCGGGTTAAATATAAAATTCACAGCATATCTTGAGCAACTATTTTGTAGTTATCTATATATAAATCTATTTTACAGCGACACAAATAGAATAGATTATGGAGTGTCAGCATGTAGATAGATTCTGAGTGCTTTTCCACTAATATACCTAATGATTCGTGCTGAGAATATTCAAGGGCTCCACTGTACATTTAAATGGATATAATTAAAATAATGAGCTCTATTTTAAAAAATGATATATGAAAAAAAATTTTAAAGAAGTTGGAAGGAGCTGCACCACTAATTCAAAGTGATCTAAGTACTTGTGTGATGCCGTTGTTATTAGGACACCTAATTAAATGCGGAACAGCTGAGGAAAAGAGCGCGGTTTGGGCTTGTAAATCTCAGTGCAGGAGTCGGGGAAGCTGCCTGTGTCCTTAGCACAACCAGCACTAGAGGAAGGAGAGCCGGTGGCTCTGTGCCGTGCCATGGAGCACACCTGTGGCAAGAGTGGCTCTCATGATCCTCATCCATAGGCTGAGTCAGGGGTCAGGCTGCTCACACAGCTGCAGCTGGATTTCCAGAGCAAGCTCTGACTTATTTAGAATGTAGGGGGGTGGGTAGGGGGCAGGGGCTGTAGGGAGGCAGGGAGACTAAGAGTCTTCCTGCCCTTCGAAGGAGGTCATTCTCTCTTCCTCCCTCCAGAACCCTGGTGACTCGGCTGGAGGTCCTGGTGGTTAGGAGATGTGGCCTCAAGTCCTGAGCTGGCTCCATGCAAGGTTAGACTCAGGAGTCTCTCTGTGGTGTATTTCCACCCAGGACTGTTGCAGATATGTATGGCTACCTTAAGCATGGATCTATCTGCTGTTCCAGTGGACCCTTGTGGGTTACAGCAGGCAGAAGTCTCAATGACTATTTATCAGGAGGTACGTCTTCTCTTGATCATTAAGCAAGCAAGTATAGCATTTATGAGGCATCTACTGTATACCTGCTCTATGCTGGAGGTTACCCAGACAGCTCTTAGAGGATGTACAGTTTAGTGAGTCACAGCCAGGGCTATGAAGAAACTAGAACAAGGTGATGACAGACAGAGAAGCTGGACAGTGAGCCAAAGAGAATTCATAAGTGTGCCCAGTCACTTTGAGAGCCACCTGTGGGAGGGAGATGTGACTTGCACAGAGGAATTATGGCTCTGTCATGCTAGGAAGGCTTCATGGTGGCAAGAGTAGTATCGTGAACCAACGTCATTGTCATAATGATAACTACTATTTGAAATTTGTGTGGACATCCACTGCAGATCAGTGCCCCAGTTGGAATCCCCACCCTTCCTTGTTTTCAGCTAGGATCCTCACATAACAGACATGGAAACAAAGGCTTGGGGAGAGCTTTTTGACCAACATTGCAGGGTATATGGGCAAGCAGGTTAGAGGTACACAATCTGTCTGATCCATAGCTCCTCTTGCCCACATTGAGTGAGTGGCCTGGAATTAATGAGGACCTTATGACCAAGAAGGGACATGGGGTCTGTTCAGGTGTGGGGGGCTAATGGTGCTGAAATCGAGAACATGGTGGAGCAAGCTAGGGAAGAGATGGTGATTTTTTTTTTTTTTTCCTGTTTCTGAGCTTAGCAAACCTTGGAGAGATCAGGCCTTGGACAAGCCTTTGGCAGCTCCCTTCATGTCTAAAAATGTGACTCACAGCCACTTTCATCAATCAGTATGTTCATTTCTGTCTTGTGAGGAGCCTGGGTTCTCACTCCTAGTTCTCAGTAGTGGTGGAGCTGGGGTTTGGAGATCCGTAGCTTGAATTCACCGTAGTTCATGTGCTAACATATCTGCCATGAAAGAGTCTTCCATGCTCTCTGTATTAGTCAGTTTTCTGTTGCTGCAATAAAATACTCAAGACTGAGTAGCTTATAAAGAACAAAGGTTGATTCAAGTGGCACTCGGGGAAGTTGAAGAGGCAGCATGAGTTCAGCTCTGGTGAGGTCTCCTGGCAGACAGCTTCATCATGACTTAGTAGCAGGTCATTATTAATGGGCCAAGTACCCTGCTAAGTCTGTGTATTCACTGATTAAATCCTATGTGACAACCCTCTTAGCTGTGCTAGCAGATGAGGAGACCCAGACTTCAAGGTGAGGGAGTGAGTAGGGAAGTAAGAGCCGGCCCCTCCCCTGCTTTCCTTGGATGGTGGTAGCAGACTGCCTGAGTAGTTAATGGAATACCAAGCACAGTGTTTCACCAGGCTGGAGACTTGAATCTAAGTCTCCAGGCTTAGGCTCTGGGCAGGGGCCACTACCAGGCTTGTAGATAACCGGAGTGTCCTCTGTTGGAGAGAATAACTTTGTTGTGGGAGGCATGTTACAAAGCGCGTGGGGGTCAGAGAGCAACCCGTGGGAGTCTGTTCTCCCCCTTCTGCCATGTGAATCCCAGGGATGAAACTCAGGCCATTGGACTTGATGACAATCTCCTTTACTGGCTGAGCCTTCCTGCTGGCCCGAGTGCTTTTATAAAGTCCCTAACCTGTCATAAAGACTCCACCATGGGAGTCTTGTTTAACACTAATTACTTCCTAATCATTCCAGCCCCCCAAACAGCCACATTTGTGGTTTGGATATTAATGTGTGAATTGGGGGGGTAGGTGGTCACAGTTTGTTCTAGAGTAGTTCCTCAGCTGCCTTTCTCTGTGCCTCCCTTGTGAGCAAGACCTCAAGGATTCTCTCTGTGCTCTACATCAACCTCTTGCCCCACTGTGGGCAGCTGTAGCTGGAGAGTCAACTCATGCAATGAAACCATTGCTTCTCAACTATTGTAGCTGCCGAGACCCAGAGAGCAGGGTTTCTATGGGTCCACATACAAGGATTCAGGTGGATCCAAGGCCAAGTCCTAGGCCCTGCCTCCCAAGTCTCCATGCCTTCACAGTGTCCTCTTTGCTTGTCATGTCTCCAGGCCAGAGCATGCCTTGAGTCTAGGCTTCTCTGAGCAGAAGAAAGGGCCATGGTCAGACAGTACCCCTGGGCCTGGAATAAGATTTGATTTTCATCCTGTGTCTTACTTACCTCCCAAACGGAAGTTGTGAGGCTAGTTTGCCTACTGAAAGGATGCGGGAGCCCGTGGGGAAGAATGTTGAGTGACATGGGTGTGGGTGCCAGAGCCTGGGCTGTGTGTTCATCTGTGCCTGCCTTTGTGATCTAGGCAAATTATGGTTCTGTTCCAAGCTACAGAATGCACTCAGCTTCCTGGCCAGTTCCATCTGACCTCGGTTCCTTAAGGATGTTCTTGAATGTTTGGAAGGCATTCCCTTGCCCAACTGTTGGCTCTCTGACACCCTCACCATGAGAGTCTCTTGAGACTGGTGTTTTCCCATCTAAAGTGGGAGTAGAGAAGAGCTTGGATGTGATCTGTGGTCCTGCTGCCAAGGAGCAGAAAGAGAGTGAGATACTTGGCATGCTCTGATCACGCTGCTCGAGTGCTGTTGGCAAGCCAGACCCCAGTTTGGCCTGGGGCTTGTTAGAAACAGCCTGGGCTGCCTGAACCAGATGCTGCATCTATGAAGGCCCCCAGCTTAAAGTTGGACAGGAATACATTTCCAGTAGCCAGAGGTGCCCTTAGAGGTTCCTTGTAACTCCAGTCATACAGATGACAGGAGGTCAGCTGTGTACTCCTAGAAGTCTTTAGACCTCCACTTACCCAGATGTGAAATGGAGCTGGTGCAGGAGGCTAAGGAGCCCTTCTTTACATTCAGCTTTGTTGTAAGTCTGTGTGGTGCTAAGGCCTGGTGGGTTCCCCTGTGTGCTTGTGAGCTGTTGCGGATCCCCTCTGAGCGGCCTCTCTTCTTTCCCAGGGAACGCTTGAAGCGCAGTCAGAAGAACGCTAAGGTGGAGGGCACGGAGCCAGTGCCTGCTGAGGCCTCGCTGAGTGCTGAGCAGGGGACGATGACGGAGGTGAAGGTGAAAACAGAACTACCAGACGACTACATCCAGGAGGTCATCTGGCAGGGCGAGGCCAAGGAGGAGAAGAAGGCAGTCGGCAAGGATGGAACTGGTGATGTGCCTGCCGAGATCTGTGTGGTGATCGGTGGCGTCCGCAACCAGCAGACCCTGGGTGAGTGCCTGAGTGAGGATGGGATCAGGGTAGAACTATGTGGCCAGAAAGAGGCTGGCATCTCAGAGACAGAACCTTCTGTGTCTTGCTCTGCCCCAGGGAGAGAGCAGAGCTCCTACGAGTTCTAGCCTGAAGAGTTCACTTTCTTTCTGATGTGACAAGACCCCATGCTTCTGTCAAGCCTTGGTTGAAGTCAGATATTTAGAATGTCTGCTGCCCCAGTGAATTTGTCACAAACTCCTGGTGGGGGACCAGTATAAGCCCTTATTGCTTTCTTGGTATCCTGACTGCATGTCCTGTCTGCGTTTTCCCTGGCTTGACTAGGAACTTTTGAGGACATTCCAGTGCTGGTCCTGGTCAGCTTTTGATTGGTGATAGGCAGGTGCCTTCTCACACTTAGAAGAGTCCAATAATAATCTGCTCTAAGGCAGTGATGATTCAAGGGCCCAGATGGCCACAAGGAGCATATGCAGAGAGAGCATGCAGGACACAAGATGGGGATTTGTGTCCAACTGTCCTATGTACAAGAGGGCAGCTGCTCTTACACTCAATGTTTGACAGCCTCTTGAGTGTCACCTCAAGTGGGGATGTAGGCTCAGCTCTGCCAGATCTCTGCACAGATCCTGTGCCCAACATGAACATATTGGTGTGAATTCTTTTGGCTTTCAACATTGGCTCTCAGATTGGCTTTTGAAATCTGCCAAACAAAACATAATGGTGGCTTAGTGTTGATCCATGAGTTACAGCTTGGAATCTCAGAAACAGTGAAACAAGGCTCATGTTTCTTACCCTGCTCCCTAGTCTGGCCCCACATGTACATGTCCATCCTTACCTTCCTCCATGATTGCCATGCCCAGCATGTTCACAGGCATGCTGTTCCCTTCACCATCATCATCTGCCCCTCATGGTCCAGATCTGGCCTGCCCCTTCTGACTTCTAAGCCCCTCTGACTTCCAGGCTTGCATACTGTTTGCAGCTTACATAGCCTCATGGGAAGATGCCCTTTGTTTCCAAGGTTCACCCTCAAGTTTTGATGCCTTTTCTTCTTAGCTACTGGCCTCAGGCTTCTGCTCTCTTTCCAGCCATTATTCAGTGTTCCCATGTGTGTCACCATAGCATCTCATGACCAGCCACCTGGCATACAGCAACCAAAAGGAAACCTAGCACATAAAAACCACATACTATGTTGTCCTTCCTTAAAAACCTTGATACTGACTCCTGCCATCCAGAACAGCAGCCACAGCACCGAGATCCTTCATGGTCCCTTTGTTTTGGGCCTCTGATCACCCTGAAACTCTCATCATAGTGCTCACCCTGTCATCCTGTCTGCTCTTCTTGCTCCCCCTTCTGGGAATACCTCCATCCATTTCCTGAATCCAGCTTGTCCTTTAAGGCCAGTTCCAGGGCACCTCCTTCCTTCTCTGATCTCCCATGTTAGAAGGGTCTATGTGGACTGTGCCTGTCCCCGGCCAAGTTTGGGAACCCCCTAGAGGTTGGATCTCTGGGACCTGCTTGGTTTCTGCTTCCCACTCCTACTCCACAGCGCCTAGTAAGGTGCTGGCTTGTGGGAGTTATGTTGGTTGTGGTAGTGTGACTGCCAGGATGAGGCTAGGTGATAACTGCAGTTACGGAAGGTCTCAAAAGTAGTAGATCTTGCTAACTCCGAACCCTAAAAATTTATTTCTTTCTTCTTAACACTCTGTTCACTGTGGCTCACACAGGGCTCCACTCGTCTCTACACTCTAATACAAATTAGCTGTTTTCACAGATGACCAGATGGCAGAGGATAGCAAGCTCTAGATGAACGCAAGCAGGCCATTGACTTCTAAAGTCAGAAGGGAGAGGTTTTTACAGCTGTCAGACCAAACAATTCATATGGCCCACCTCATCTGAGGGGGCTAGGAGGTACCCACATCCCAAGGTCACTATGAAGGACAATTGGGCATGAGGAGATGTTTGGTGGGAAACCTTGCCTGACCTCTGCCCCTCAGCATTCACTCTCCAAAGCCAAGGACCAAGCTTCCTATAGGAACTGTGAATGGAGGAGAGGGAATGTTTTTTATTCTCACCGAAGAGGATATGTCACTACTCTTTAAGCCCAGCAGCCATTTCTGTCCTTCCCCAGATGTCCTGTCAAGAGAAACTAAGATCCAGTCAGGGAGGCCTGTAGTAGGCAGAACAGGGGAATGTGGACAGCCTTCCTAAGCCAGCGAGCAGTCCACATAGTGGAGGCCCTGGCCCCTCGGGCCTTCTGCTAGCCAGAGGTACTCATTTCCCACTCAGCTGCTGCTCAACAGCCAGGTTTTTGGCCTCACTGCCCATTAGTGTCCTCCACCCTGGCCACCTCATGGATGTGGGAATCAAAACAGTAGTGGACAGAACACTATTGACCAAGGAACTCATATCTGTGGTGCCTGTGATGGAAAGCACATCTGGGTTCTCTGACTCATGGTGTGAGTGCCCAACATACAAATTCATGGGTTATGTGAGGACATAGGATATGTGCTAAGTGCCTGGTGCTGTGCCTTGTGATGGGTGGATGAGCTCTTGGTAGTATAGTCTGAGTGCTGGCAATTGTAGTTGGAATTTTCTTTGGGCCACCAACCAGCAGACTTCTTATTAACTGTGAAAGCTCAGACTTTAGCTTAAGATTGTCCCGCTAGCTCTTATAACTTCAACCCTGTTTCTATTTGTCTACATTTTGCCTTGTGACTTTTCACCTTTCTTTTATTCTCTATGTCTGATTCCCTCCAGGCACCTTGATTATCTCCTCCTACATCCTGTATCTGTGCCCAGAAGACATGCTTAGCTATTGGTCATTCAGCTGTGATACATTTTCACACATTATACAAATATCTCAACATTTCCCCCTTTTTGTCTAAATAAAAAGAAAAGGTTTTAACTCTAACATAGTAAAACTATATACAATAAGAGAATTTATCAGGTAAGAATTTTATTTACAATAATATCCAATCTATTTGTATTTGAAACATTCAGAGAAAATAATCCATTATTTATCTTATCTTGTTGAGTCCAAAATTTTGTATCTAATTTACCTTCTGTCATAACTAAGGAAAACTGAACTCTTTAGTCTCAACTCTATCAAAGACCCCAGAAGGATATAATATTACCTGAATAAACAGGAAGTGCTGTGCAAGCCACATCCAAATCTATAGAAATATAGACATCTGGCTGCCTGGACAGTTACCCATGGTTCCTCTGCAATGTTGGGGCATCCATCTTTGGCCTACAGACAAGACTTTTCTATGAAGCAGGAATTTTGAAGAACTGTTCCACCTTGTCCTGGCAAAGTTTGGCAGTCTTTTTCCTTTGTGTCCTGCTTGTCCAGTTTGTAGAGTATATTGTTAGCAGTTGAGGCAAGTGAAGATTCTTGCCCAAATAGCTAGCTTTGCCACAATGAAAACAAACTCCATGTGGAAGTTTTTCAACACCTATCATTCTTTTATAAACTAAATCAGTGCTGCAAGGAACAAACATGTCTCACTGTCATGAAAAGCCTTAGGTTATTAAACATCTTAAATGTCATATTCTGTGGGTCTCTGAAGTGTTTGAAGATCACCTATCTATCTAAAATATATGTTTGACCTTGAAAACATACCTAACATGACTACAAGTTTGATTGTTATAGATGAGTACTAACTTGAATTTTTAAATTATCCTAACGAGTTTTTAATAATAGCTTTCAAGGACTAGAACTTTATATTACACTTTTAAATGAGCTGCATAGGTACAATACCTTAAATAAGAAACATATATGGTATAATAACATTAACCTTAAATTTGTATCAGTATACAAAAATCTATACTAGTGTAAAATATTTGAGATGAATAGTTGTACTTTTATCCTACATTCCTATATCCCCACTAAATGATAACAAATATCCATAACCTTCCAAATTTACCAAAAACCAACCACCCCACCTCTTGAAAATGTGGGCATTGTATTCTCTAGACTACTTCCTGTTGTCTGGGGGGCAATGGCATCTCGAGGGGATTCTGAGAAAATTGAGACATTAGTCAAATCCTGAGAAAAGTAGTCGTAACTTTTGTTGTCCAGTCTCAGAACTGTTCTCATGCAGAAGGATCAGTATATGCATCACCTGTTTTATAAATTTTCCTGGTTTATTTCTTATGTATGTAGCCAAGATTTTCAAGAATTCTCTCCCTATCAAACCTGATCTCTATTAACCTTGAAGGAATTGATAGCCTTCCATTTCCTGTGGAAACAAAAGCATAGCCTCACCCCCAATGCAATACATTTTCTGAATTCCACTTTAAAGGTAAGATATCTGTAAAGTATCTAGGCTACTTAAATTCAGCCATCTCCTTTACAATCCCATGTCTCTCCGCAGATGTCATTCACTAATCAATATTCAAAAAATTCAAAGTCAGCACAACACCATATAGGATCCAAACACCCTGTGTATTTCCCATCTTTACTTGGCTTTTTTCCTTTTTATTATTTTATACTCTCTTTAAAGACTTTATTATTTTAAACTATTTTTTTTCTTCTGGCTGTCTATACCAATTATCTTTAAGTGCCTAAATACATTTTTAAGCATGCTGTAATCTGTTTAGAGGTTTTTATATTTCAGTCTGGACCTGCTTTATTGTGCACCTGTAGTGTTCTCTGACTGTGTGAGTCAAACCTTAAACTCTAAGCAAAAGCTAGGTCCTAATATGTGTGGCTCTAGCAGTTGGCTCTGCCTCCTCCTTGGGTCCGTGAGAGCCAAGCCTTATATTCCCACAGGTCTGGCTGAGAGTTGCATCTAACTGCCCCAGCTCTAGGAAGTTGGTGCCTGCACTGTGGCAGGCAATTTTACTTGGCTTGTTGTTTCTATTTATCATGCCAGGTGTTCAAGTGCTCTCTGTATGGCAGAGCTGTGTCTCTGTATGTTACAAGCACTGGGTTACTAGGAAGCTGTGTAGGTTTTTTCCCCCCAGACCCTACATAGAGATATGTGCCCCACGTTGGGCAC